TGATTGAGAGGAAAATGGGAGGGAGTTCTAGACAAAAAAATAAATAAAATCTTTAAAAAAAAAAAAAAAAAACACGTGGCAAACTAGATTTGGCCCAGACCACAGTTTCACAATTTCCAATCTAGACAAATGAAATATTCTTTTTTTTTTTAAAAGACTTTATTTATTTATCGAGAGCGAGAGAGTGAGAGCGCCCATGTGTGAGTCGGGGAGAAGCAGAGGGAGAGGGAATAAGCAGACTCCACACTGAGTGTGGAGCCCACCCAATGAGGGGCTTGATCCCAGGACTCTGAGATCATGACCTGAGCCAAAACCAAGAGTCAGATGCTTAACCAACTAAGCCACCCAGGTGCCCCTACAAACGAAATATTTTGTTTTAGTGACAGGATTTTTTTCAGTGTCTTTTTAATTACCAATAAAATAATAAGCACTAAACTTTGGAAGTGAAAATAAGACAGTATCGTGTTTTCTCTTTCCAGAGGTCAGACCTGAGGAAAGCACAACCATTTCTGGTGGCCTAATAGCTCCTGCCTGATAGAGTTAGGGACATCAGTACACTGGAGGCAGAGGGAATGAATTTGGATTTACTATAAAGAATGCACTGCTCCTTGACCAAAAAGGCCTCTCTTATCTGCTGACAGAAGCTTTTATGCCACTAACCTCCTAAATTAAAATAATATAAAAAATGTCTTTTCCTTCTAGTTTTGATGGGGAAACATGATGGCAAGGATGGAAAATCCTGTAAGAGGCTAGGTATCAGAATCATTCAAAATGCCTCACAATTTTGCGTAAATCTGAGAAGTGGCAAAAGGCAAAGAATATACATATACCCTTATTTTATGTTACTTCTAAATCTGAACCATTAATTTGACAGCACTTCTTAAACACTGATGCACTGTACAACAGTCACCAAACACTGATGTCATGTACAACAGTCACCAAACACATGATGTCATGTACACCAAACACTGATGTCATGTACAACAGTCACCAAAATGTTTTGTAAGTGGCAAAGCATCATAAAAATCTTATCACCACAGAGTAAGTATGCAACTTGAATATCATTCTTACCACTCTAGATGGTTTTCTTCTGTTGATGCACTGGCAGTCAATACTATATAATGTCTATGAAGAATTTTTAGCAACAATCGGGGAGGAGGGGGGGGGAAAAAGCCAGAAACACTGTTAGGGTCTGCTTTTCCAACATTACTTTTTCTTTCTTTCTCCTACTGAACAAAAGAACCAATGCAGGCACACAGCTTATGAAAATTAGAACATGCTCTGATTTTTCACAAAATTAATTCTAGACCCTACAATTAAAAACAATTCACTAAAAACAAAAACCACTAATACTGGGTTAGATACTACTAGAATACACAAACTCATCATTTAGGATTTCTGCTAAGCTATTCTCTACGTCACTTGAAATATAAGTGACAACAGTCACCCATAATATATTAACTTTGTAAGTTTAACATTCTTCTTTAAACACACACACACACAAAATGCAAAATTTCAAATACCTATACTTTTGAAAAAAATTTGGTGGCTCAAGTAGTTTGGACCAGTCTGATTTCCCTTGAAGGATTTCATCTGTGACTGCAAGACCTAAATTAAAAACAAGAGAGAGACTGATTTTGAAAACTGGCTATTTTGTTAAAGCTCCTGTATCACTCTACCCCCAAACCTCTAACCCTACCTCTTGAGTAAAAAAAAAAATTAATTTCTCAGAACACAAAAATCAATTTCAAACAGATTGGGCTGGCTCCATTTTGGACTTAATATTATATTTTGGAAAACCAATTACTGAAAGAATACATACATATTTGAAAGAATTTTTAGAAATAACAGGCATAACTGCACTTTAAACTGTTGTAAATAAAAAATTCGTGGGAAAGGACCAACAGGTTTACCTTGTTTAAATTCTTCTACCATTACTGTTCGAGTTGAGGTGGACACATTATACGTAGAATTCTGCTGTGGGTAGGCAGGGGTGATTATGGGCATGAGATGATACCTATCTGATGGATTTACCTGTGAAATTAGAAGCAGAATAATTGATCTATTCTCCTATTTCAGTTGTCCTCACTTCATTTCCCCAAAAGTCTGAAGAATATGAAATATAAATTTAATACTACATTTCCTCAATTCTAAGAAGTACATTTTCTCTCCCCAGCTACACTTATTTCTGAAGTCAGATATGTCTGATATTCAAAGGCAACTCTGTAGAAGTTTCTTTTTCCTCTGAAAAGCTGTTAAACTGATGGTGCATCTTATAAACAATGGTCTTTTAGAACCAAGAAAATACAGTATCATAGCTGCAAAAAGCATTATTAATCCAATGGTTCTTAATCCTCTTTCTGCATCTGCTCAATGGGTAACTTCCCATAGGTAACTCAGAGGAATAAGCACTCACTCTAAAAGCGAATTAAAATGCAGGGTGAGAGTTATGCTAGCTTAGAACCATGAGTCTGCTCTAAATGGCACTGCAAAGTAAATCTTTTATATACTTCAGCACTTTATTAGTAGTAACTAATTACTTATAAGACAGTTTTTAACAATGGATTATGACATTTTGGTTGATACACCCATTCATCTACTCTTATATGGGTGATTTTTATTGACATAACATTTGGATCAGAATTTGAGATACAAATCATCTGCACCAAAAAACACAGCAGGTAGAAGGAAAGAACTATAGCTATACAAAGGAAGATGAGCAGGAATAAGAATTATTTTTAGATTACAGTTTAGAGAATTGTCCTTCTCCTAAAAGGTTTAATTTCAATAATAAGTCACATACCCGAGGATCCCAAACAGGCAAATTCAAATTGCTTTCTTCTGGTTGCTTCAGCAGCACAGGATTTGGCCACTCCCTAACATGAATAAGGCAAATTAATTCACATAGGACCTCACTTCGGAAACTATATGAAATGTAAAATCATCAGACTCTATTTAAATTTTCATAGAGCAAACATTGTGGATGGGTATTTGGTATTGAAAAAAACAAATGGGCAAGGGAAGGAAGTATACAAAAGAAAAAGCTGCTTATTTTAAAATGTGTCTTCTGAAAGGGAAAATACTGTTTAGCCCATTAAGCTGTAGCTAATTTAAATCTGAATTTTCCAGGGGCACCTCGGTGCCTCAGCCAGTTAAATGTCTGACTTGTTTTCGGCTCAGGTCATGATCTCAGGGTCATGGGACTGAGCCTGGCGTCAGGCTCTGCGCTGGGCATGGAGCCTGCTTAAGATTTTCTCTCTCTCCCTCTGCCCAGCCCCCACTCTCTAAAATAGATAGATAAATCTTAGAAAAAAATTTGAGTTTTCCCCTTCTATTTGCTTTCATGGATTTAACTCTGATAATTTAATAGCAGCAAGAGCTAGCTTTACTGAAAATACTAATAAATCCACGTAGCAGCTATGATTATCACCTCCATTTTACATATGAGACATTAATCTATATGTAGCTAGTAATCAGAGCCAAATCTATTGCGACCACTCTCAAGCTAAAAGCCTACATTTACAGACCCCTCCCAACCCCAGAAGAAAGCGCCATCTGGTGTCTCATCATTGTCTCAAATTTGATGTCTTTAAACTTTTAACTTAAAAGGAATGTTAATACAACAGAGTAAGTCTATGTGTATCTCTTAAATTGCCAAACAAACTTACATAAAGGCAGAAGTTAGGAAATAGTTAAAGTATGCATATGAATACTTACCACTTGGAAAAAACTAAAAAGAACTTATGAACTAAAGTAGAAGCTGCTGCATTTGGATATAATTGGCAAGTTCTTGCAACTAGCATTGCCCACGAGACACCACCAAGGAATCCCAGCATGTTGGAATAAATACCACGTCCTAGAAAATTAATATATCTGTTAATTATTGTTAGGATCTACTATCCATGACATTCAACTATAAGGAATAGGATAACTTAGTTCCTAAAACTATTGCTTAGTTAGCTTTTCCCCTCTGGAAATAACATTATACAATCAATAAGCAGACCTTCATGCTAGGTCCACAGTTTTATTAGTAAACCATGAACTGCATCTTATCCCCCTACTTCACCAAAACAGACACCTCAGTTCCCTGCCTCAGTTCTGACTGCCCAACTGGGCTCTATTGATATAACACTGGAATTTCCCCCTTTTCAATAGCTATGGTTGAGAAAGAAATGAAAGGAAGGAGGAAAGATATCTGGAGGGTCTACAAGTAGGAAGAATAAACATTTCATTAGTAATCATATTCATGGGCATTTTAAAATCAAGTGTAAAGCTGGACTAACTTCAGTATTTTGCAGAATTTGGATACCTCTTCATAAAGTAAAATACACCATTGATATTATTCATTTCTCTTAAATTGTTTCTTACAGCAATCTATAAAAAAGTATTACCATATTTCATCAAACCTATTAGATCCTCAATTACATAATATAGCATTACTTTATGTCCCACTAAGCAAGCAAGAAAAAAAGATACAAAATGTCAATTTCAGGTATGTTAAATGTGTAAAATGTGCATCTAAGAATTGACAAGACATAGTATTTAATTCAATCCGTAAGGAAAGAAAAATTGTGATATCCCTTTCTTACAAATTACTTTATCCTGACTATACAAGGTAACTGAACCCAGGGACAAATCCTACTTGTCTAATGTCTTTTTGGATGCGTACTTCCAATATGGTAGCCACAAGTCACATATAGCTTTTTTTTTTTTGGTAAAAGCTTTACGGAGATACCATTCATATAGCATAGGATTCATCCATGTAAAAGGTTAAAAATTAATGGCTTTTAGTATATTCAGAGTTGTGTAACCACCACCATAATCAATTCTGGAACACTTTCATCACCCCAAAGAGAAACTTTTAACAGTCACTCCCCTCCTACTTGTTCCCAATCCTCCCAGACCTAGGCAAGCACTATTCTTCTTTCTATCTTTTATAGATTTGCCTATTTTGGACATCTCATATAAATAGAATTTACTTCAGTCCTTTTTATTGCCAAGTAATATTCCATATTATGGATGTATCATCAGTTTATGAACATAAGGTTGTCTCTACTTTTTGACTATTATTACTAGAATGCTATGAATATCTGTGCACAATTTTTTTTTAAAGATGTATTTATTTGAGAGTGGGGGTGGGGCAGAGAGAGAAGTAGACTTCCCCTGAGTGTGGAGCCCAAAGCAGGGCTTGATTCCAGGACCCAGAGATCATGACCTGAGCCAAATCAAGAGTCTGATGCTTAACTTTCTGAGCCACCCAGGCACCCTGTGTACAAATTTTTGTGTGGACATATGCTTTTACTTCTCTGAGATTCTGTTTAATTTAAAATTGTAATTTAATTTTAAAATTCAGTTCCTTGGTTGCACATTTCAAGTGCTCAATAGCCACATGGTTACTTTTTGGATAGCACAGATATGAAGTATTTCCATCATCACAAAAAGTTTTATTGGAAAGTACGGTTTTAGACTATGTAAAACCTGGTGCCAGAAGTATAGTACTACTTAAGTGTAGTTACAAATAATAGAAAACGAGCTGTGCCAGCTCAGGATTGGGCCTTTTATGAACCATATGCTACGTATATATATAAATTAGTTCCAGCCTTTATTAGAAAAGTGTCATAACGTAAAAATAAAAAGAAGTTGAAACTATCACTGTAGGTCCTTCATTTAATAAATTTACCGAATACCTACTACAAGCTACATGCTGCTGGTAATGGGGAGACAAAGATGAATGAGATGGTCCAGCCCACAGAGAACGTGAAGAACAGTGAGGGTTTCACTCTTCCAGTTCTAACTCATTCTGATGGCTTGGCTAAAACTTGAGATGGGAAGTCAGGAGGTTTTAGTTTTAAACCAAGGAACAAGGAGGCAGAGTCACACATCAGAGCATCATAACCACTGTACCTGAAAAAGAAACAGGATTCTCCAAAATCTACGGGACCTCAATCCCCAACAGAATTAATAGGCTCAGGAGTTTCCATATGTGCTTCTATCATTAGCAACTGAAAATTGTAATTTTATAATGCAAGCTTAAAAGATGTGGGATACTTACGTTTTGCCCATAATTTGACTGCTCTTAGGGTGAGTCTAAAAGTTTCTTTATTTGGCACTAAATGCAAAATTTCATCAGTAACTCTACATCCTGAAAAAGATAAAGCATTCATTTTTCATTATGCAACAAAATCTAGTTAATTCAGACACCCTTCTAATTTCCAGACTCTCAAATGCTGAAACTATCAAAGATAATAAAATGTGGGCCATTTTCTCTATGTATTTGAAATTTAGCACATAGATGAGAAATTACTTTGCTTTTAAAGAATTAAAAAATGCATGGGTAATGTAATTCAATATTAAAATAAGAGATGGATCTGAATATCTTTAGCTTTCTTCACCATTTATCTTTACTGTTAATCAAATGTCCCCAACTTATAAAACTGTTATTGCTTTAACATACACCTTATTTCACAAATACTGTTATTTACGGTTGTACTCTGAAAGTATAATAAAAATGCAATGATAAAAGATGCTACAAGCCAGTGTTTTGTTCTCAAAGTGCAGTCTTGGACCCTTGGGAATGCTAGGTTAACCTTTTTTTTTTTTAAGTTTGTCAAACCTATTTTTATAATAACAATAAAACTTTGCCTCTTTACTGTGTTAACATTTGCATTAACGGTGCAAAAGCAGTGGGGGTAAAAACTGCTAGTACCAAAGCTTTAATAACAAATTGTACTATTAAACAATTACCTTCACCACCACACATTTGAAGTTAGAAAAGAGGAGAGGGGCCCATCCAATGTTTGAGCAAGTTTAAAGAAAGCTGAACTACCTGTTTTTTTCAAGGAACACCAGTTTTACTTAGAAGAATCCTAAAAAATGAACAAAGTGAGTCCCTCATTTTAAGGAAAACAAATGACAAAACTTGTTACCAATAATAAAATTTGAGCTTTCGGTAAAAATTAGAATTTTGGACAATTAGTATCTGCTACTGTGAGCCTGACAGCTTTCCAATATGTAAAGACTTTTCTGATGAGATTGGTGGTGATATTAATGAATGTGATTTTCCTGGGTATTTTATAATGAAATGTGTGTTAACATTTTGAAGATCCAAATAACTTTGTGAACCAGTAATTTCCAAATGACTAAGGCTTGCTAGTACAAAATCATGTATGGGTAAAAGATCCATTCAAAGAATAAGACAGACCAATAGATTTTAATGTAAGAATATAAAAAGTTAATTGATGTGGTTTTAGATCCGATATTCAAATTAACCTTTAAAAAAACACTTTTACTCACCAATAAAAAGGAACAAACTTCTGATATATACTACAAACATGGACAAACCTCACAAACACTATGCTAAGTGAAAGAAGCCAGACACAAAATACCACATATTGCATGATCTCACTTATATGAAATGTTCAGAAAAGGCAAATCTATAGACACAAAGTAGAATAGTGGCTGCCTAGGACTGGGGGTTGGAAAGGAGAATGACTGTAAATGTGTAAGAGGGATCTTTTGAAGATGATGAAAATGTTCTAAAATTGGATTGTGGTGCACAACTCTGAATATGGTAAAGACTACAGAATTGTACACCTAAAAAGAACAAATTTTATGACACGTAATTATACCTCAATAAAGCTGTTGAAAAGAAAAAAGATATTGTCACTGGTCAAGTTTTGCTGTATTATCAAAGAATATCCACAGTTTTCTGAAAAAGCTATTAAAATTCTCCTCCCTTTTCCAATTATGTATCTTTAAGAGATCAGATTCTTCCTGTGCTTCAATCAAAACATTACAAGAAATTAACTGAAAAAACAGATAGAAGAATCTAGCTATCTTCCATTAAGTCAAAGAGATTTGCAAAAATGCAAAAAAAATGCCATTCTCACATAAAAACTATTTATATTCACTTAGAATGGGTTTCTTATTTTGAAATAAATACTTTAAAATTTCCTGTTTTTATTTCTAATATGGTATATATTGACAGATATTCCACATAAAATCTAAAATCTATTGATAGATTCCACATAAATAGAAGATCTTTGGGGTCCTCAATAAATTTTTAGAGCGCAAAGGGGTCCTGAGACCATTAAGTCTGCGCACCATTACTACAAACATAAACAACGTTTCAAATAAATGCATGTCTTTTAAAATGCCTAAATGTGGTCAGATTATCTATATAAAGAAAATCACATCATTTTTAACTGAGTTAATCCAAGACCTTAAAAAGTCCATTAATAGTTCTGCAAAAAAGATCTCTTTGTCTAATTGTTTTCAAGCAGATATCTGAGATTTTTTTTTTAGAAGCTTACCATTTAGGCTGCGAATACACCTTATATCAAGGCTTCTCAGTCGAGAGTCGTCTCTTAGATCTAAATTATCTGATATGGTTTGAATTGCCAGTCTTGCAAAGACTAGATCAATCTTTGGAAAGATGCAAAAAAAGAGAAAAATATTACTTTTTCTCCTTCTAGTCCATTCTCCGCACCCCCCACCCCAACCTCAATAGTATAAAGTTCTAATTATTAGTTTGGGAAGTTCTACCAAAACTTAAAAAAGCTTATGTAGGCAATCTCACATGGGAAAATCACTGCAAAGTTTTGTGAGGGTAATTAAATTTGCAAATTAAGGGAAAGCATTTTAATTTTAGCATATATGCCAAGCATTAAAAAGGACATCAAAATCTTATGAATGAATTTCTAGATAAAGATGGCAGATCCAACACACATTTACATTCACTCCCTCTTGAAACCCCACTAAAATATCAGTAACAATTCATTCTGTTTTTTATTTAGTTTTGTTTTTAAAGGCATATTCCACTAGGACGAAGGGACTAAAAGGAGACAACAGCAAAAACTATGGAAGCAGATGGATAAGTGGTAACAGACTTAGCAGATTTAAGAAAGCAGAGATAAAAAATATTGTATCCAGGAAAGAAGGATAGGAGGCTGTAAATAAATACATACATAAATAGAAAGGAACACTTAGAAAAATAACAAAGTTATTCTTAGAAATTAAAAATATGACAGCAGAAATGGAAAACAATAGGAAGCTTGGAAGATGAGAAAACCCCCACAAGCAGAAGAAAAATATAAGTATGTGGTGGTCCAATATACAGAAAAAAGAGAGAAAACAAAGGCAGGAAATCCAATAGAATTCAATACAATTTCCAAGAATGGAAGGACAGGAATTTCCAAAGTGGAAGAGGACTACTGAGTACCTAGCATATTTGGTTGAAAGACACATACCAAAGTACATTACCATGAATTTTACAACTATGAAGCCCAGGAATAAAGATCATATTAAGTGTCTAAAGAGACAAAACAGATCACGAAGGACGAGAAATCAAAATGGCATCACATTTTCAACACAGCATGAAAGGTAGAAGAAAATGAAGCAAAGCCCAAAATTCTGAGATACATTTCCCACCTAGAACTCTATACTCAGCCAAACTATTATTTTGGTTTGAGAACCAAATAAAGACATTTTTAAACATGCAGGATCTCAAAAATATGTGCTCTTTCTCAGGAAGCTAGTGGATGAGTGCCACTAAAATGACAGTAAGTCAAAAAAGAAGAGAAATCCCAGGATGATAGTAAAGAAAGATCCAGGAGGCCAGCTGGTTATCCTTCATGGAGAACAATCAGTGTGGAATCCTACATGTGAGAAGACTCATGTATTTTTTTCAAGATGATAATGACAGAACACCCAAGAAATCTAAATCTATTTAGAGGAGATTCAGACAGCTAGCAAAGACTGACTTTGAATTAGTGTTAAGTATAAAAACCAAACAAACAAAATGCAAAACAATTATTAACTCCCAAGAAACAAAATGCCACAAAGAATGATAATTTAGTATACTCTGTGCTCAGTTTTGAACATTATTTATAAGATCATAATAATATAAACACTGAATATTGCTCCAATCAAAATTATAACATTATTATTTTAGATTATAGGAATAAGAAGGGTGTATATAAAAATCATGGGGTAAGGATGGAAGCTGGTTCATTTTCCACAGTGAGAAGTCAATAGATACAGGAGAAAGAAAGGTGAGGAACTATTTAAAAACTATTTGATTCTTTAAAATATGTGTCTTGGGCGCCTGGGTGGCTCAGTTGGTTGAGCGACTGCCTTCGGCTCAGGTCATGATCCTGGAGTCCCTGGATCGAGTCCCGCATCGGGCTCCC